CAGGTGAGGGCAACAGGATCTGCACATCTACACGTACCGGGACCACCAATTCCTTGAGCAGTATACATGTTTTTGATTGTTAATATATCTCCCCACTGCCAAAGATATTGCCAGATAGGTTAGGAGTAAAGATCAGGAATGACTTCTGGTTTTATCAATGGTAGATTAAATCACTTGGACTGATTCCCCCTGTTCAAGACAACTAAAAAGCTGAATGAAATATACCAAAAAAAAAAAAAAAAATTAAGACCATCAAAAAGTTAATCAGATCGTGAGAAATTACTAGATCAAGATGGAGGAGGGGATGAAACTCTAGAGAGGAGAATCCAACATTTGGGGCCGTTTTTGCCGTTATCTGAGTGACCCCCCAAAATATCAAATTCTAAAATTGGATTAAGATGATCTAGATTGTTGTTCCCCCAGCTCCTGGAAGAAACAAACAAAAGTAATCTCTGACCCTAATTGTTTCTACAAAACATTTTTAGAAACAGTATTGGACATGCAATCAAAGATAATCACCTGTGTTTGCTTAGTTTCGTTGCGTTGCTTGAATGTGGCTTCTAACACCTTAGAGTAGATGTCTGCTGGTCAGGTCTGCCAGTATTTCATTGGGAGGATGAGCTGGCATTTTTATGGCCTACTTTTCCTGGTTGCAGAGGTCTTCCTACCCAGTTGGAAGAGTTATAGAATTTGCTTTTCTTCTTTCTGAGTCACTCCCATGGTATTATAAGGCATCAATCACATATACTTTGCTAATATGCTCTCTGATTTTGCTTAAATGTTGTCCTCTATAACCCTTCTCCCTGGCTACTTGAGTTATTATTTAGATTTATGAATAGCTATCAGATTTGAGAGTGAATTTTCTTCTAGAAGTACCTTTCCCTTTAAAGGGGCTCTTGCTGACTTCCATGGCTCCAGCAGATCCATTTAGTTTATTTCACAACCACTAGGGGGCAATATTTTCTCTCAGCCCTATTATTTCTAGCAAACCATATACATTTGCAAACATTGTGGGCTAATATTTTAAAATACAAACCAATTTTTAAAATCTTTTAAAAAATTAATACACTTAAAAAATCAGTTTTAGGCTTACAGGAAAATTAAGAAGAAAATACCAATTCCCCTTTATTCCCTTTCCCTCTCTCCACAGTTAATCTTATTGTTAACATCTTGCATTAGTCTGGTACATTTGTTACAACCGACGATCCAATACTGATACAATTTTAATAACTAAATTTTGTAGTTTACATTATGGTTCACTCGTTATGTTGTATATTCTATGGGTTTTGACAAATGTATGATGTATGGATCTACAATTTCAGTATCAAACAAGAAAGTTTCATTGCCCTAAAAATCTCCTATACTCCACCTATTCATCCCTCCCTACTCCTGAACCTCTAGCTACCACTTATCATTTTATCTCCATAGTTTTGCTTTTTCTAAATGTCATCTAGCTGGAATCATATAGTATATATCCTGTTTAGATTGGTTTATTTCACTTAAGAATTTGATTTTTCATGGCTTGATGGCTGAATAATTTTCCATTGTTTGGGTGTACCATGGTTTGTTTATCCATTCAGCTACTGAAGGACATCTTGGGTGCTTGCAAGTTTGGCAATTACGTGTAGAGTGGCTATAAACATCTGTATTCAGGTTCTCACATGAACATAAGTTTTCAACTCATTTAGGTAAGTACCAAGGAGCATGATTGCTGAATCACATGGTAGGAGTAGGTTAAGTTTCCTAAGAGATTGCAAACTGCCTTCCAATGTGGTTGTACCATTTTGCATTCCCGCCAGCGATAAATGGGAGTTCCTGTAGCTTCACATCCTCCCAGCATCTGGTTATCAGTGTTGTGGGGTTTAGCTTTCCAACAGGTGTGTAGTGGTATCTCATTGCTATTTGAATTTTCAAGTTCTTATTGACCTATGATGTTGAACATTTCTTTATATGCTTATTTGCCATCTTTATGTTTTCTTTGATGAGATGCCTGCAGATTTTTTGCCCTTTTAAAAAAATTGTGTTGTTTTCTTATTGTTGAGTTTTATGAATTCTTTGTATATTTTTAATAGCAGTCCTTCATCAGATATGTTTTGCTAAGATTTCTCCCCAGTCTATGGCATGTCTTTTCATTCTCTTAACACTGCCTTTTGCAGAGCAGACATTTTTAATTTTAATGGAACTCCAACTTACCAATTTACTTCTTTCATGGACAGTACTTTTGGTGTTATATCTAGAAAGTCACCAGCAAATCCAAAGCTACCTAGAGCTTCTCCTGTTATATTCTAGGAATTTTATCATTTTGCATTTTGGTTTATGAACCGTATTGAATAAATTTTTGTTAATTAAATTTAAATATCCTCACCAAAATTTTAAAAGCTGTATTTAATTTAAAAAGTATGTTATTCTATTAACATGTAATTTATGTATTATTGATATTTGAAAATAAACAACTAAACATTTTTAATTTCTTGGTTTGCATTTCTAGCATCTGAAATTGATTTCAGTGATGAATCATCTGATAATTCTAGTAGGTCGTCATTTAATTTTGTTAAAAGCTGAGAACAAGAAACTACCCAAGTTGCAAAAGGCCATTCTCATTCTTAACACCAGTGCCAATATTTGAAATTCTTCCTTTTATTTTGTGTCCTGGAGGTTGTCTATGGCCAAGCAGCTGTCCACAGCGAGGTCAGTGACAGGAAAGACATAGGTCTGTCTTTGTGAGGTGGGAGACGGGTAACTACAAAGGGAGAGGAAGAAAAGAACATATTCTCGGGGGGCCCTGCCTTAGGAGGGCACACAGGGGAGATGAATAATGGATACTCTGCCCTTATACCATCTGTGCCTGTAGCCTTTGGAAAGTCTTCCAGTTCCCTCAGGTAGCACAAGCCAAACAGACACCTGGTCTCGATGGCAGCCATACACCTAAACTAATCACTGAAGTGCAAGGAGGAAGCTCAGGGGGAAAGCGCGGGGCTTCAAGAACAGATAATTTCAGCTGGTTTGAAGGATATTGAAGGTAAAAAAAAAATGAAATTTTATAGTGGTTTGGAGTTTGCAAAACACTTTCAAGGATTGTCTACTTTGGTCATATTAACCTTGTGGGGTATCTGTGACAGGCGTTTTTTGCCCCCATTTTACAGATAAGAAAAATGAGGCTCAAAGAGAATGCTTTGTTGTGTGTGGTTTTGTTTTGTTTTGACAGAGGGTTACCTAGGAAGTCTTCTGATAGCAGTTTTAATTAGTATCACATGACACTAATGGCAATAACTTTTGGAAAATTGAATCCTAATTTATTCTCATTTGGTTGTGAAAGTCTTGACACTTCATGCATGCTTTTCAGATTCTGCAAATCTGAAGTACTGTGACCAATAAATCTTTAACCACCCGTAAATCTTTAACTACCTGAAAAGCTTACCGTGGAATATATATATACATATATTGCATAGGTTTATATTTAGGTTTGTTCCGTACTGATGGGGTTGATTCAAATACACTGAGAGATGCTATTAAACTTACTCATGTCTTTCATTTGTGCACCATAGTGTAGTTTGTATTAATCTCTCTCTCTCTCCCCCACTCTGAGTGAACTGTAATGGTCTAGGTAATACATTTAAATCGCATTAAATTCTACCTTTCACGTGTGAGAAGCAAGAGTACCACCTTTAATGATAACTTTTATCACTGTCACTTCTCACTTTCAGACATACCAAAATTAAACATTAAGCACCATAATCACTAGCTCTGTATGTAAGTGGCTTGAGGATAAACAATCTGATTCACAATTCTTTGTTTCTACTGTATATTTTAGATGATTAAAAATAATTTGCATATTGAAATTAAATTTCTAGCTCTTATGGGAGAGACTAAGTCATGAGGCGGTTGTGAGGAAATCAGAAAGTTTCCTTCCATTGCTGGTTACACACTCTCGTGACTGCAGCACTGCCTACTTCCAAAGACAGTTCTAGACCTGAGGGTCACTGCTGGGAGGGTCTAACTTTCTTCCATCCCCAAAGAAGAAAACATCAGTTTTCAAAATATCTTTTAATGTATGTATCTTCCATATCCAAGATGGCGTAATGTTACATTTCAAAGGCAAATCATCCATTTAACTATTCTTTTTCAGAAGTCCGAATTCTCTAGGAAGAGTATGTTCTTCTGAAATTTCAAGAAAGTTTTGAGTTAACTAAGAATTAATTTCTTTTGCTATTCTCCACTGTGTCTTATTTTTTTCCATAATATGATCAATGACAAAAGCTTCTATGTAGCAACACAGTTCAGGTGATTTAGTTGAAAAAACTTGCAATGACTTACTAAATTCCTGGAAGAAAAGAAAATATTTTTAAAGTTAGGTCAAAGCATATTAAATTTAAACATTTTTACTTGACATCAACATTTCTTTTCTAGGAGCAAAAGTAACAACATCAAAGCATTCTTTTGTTATCTCCAAGGACATTTGGCTCTAGACAGCCACACTTGTTAAACTATTATGTATGCTTGTTTGTGCCAGAGAGCCAGCTTATTTTTGCAACATTTCTCAAGTCCCACCTGAGGAGAAAGGCACGTGGGTTTATGTATGTGCCAACTGCAGTGTGCTACTAGCAGCTCTTGTAGCATTAAGTTGGGGAGGTTCTGAGGCTCATCCATGATCAGTGAGTGGAAAAGTGAATGATGATAGATTAACTGTGTCTGCTGTGGGCCTCTGTGTGTCTGAGATGGGAAAAGGAGAGTGCAGTCTGTTTCCAAATATTTCCAGCTCCTGCCTAAGATGGAAAGTTTGTTATGCCAGCAATTAAATGTCTTCTTTCTGGGTCGAGCCGATAGGGTTGGTGGCCCAGTGAAAATGTCTTCTCACATTCCTGCAGTCCACTGTGAGTGAGTGAAGGGGCTCCCTGGCTTTATTAAGATCTGTATTTGTCAACGAGACAAAGAACCTTTCTCTCCCACTCTGTAGATGACTTTTATGACCCAGGGACATTTTCCTGGCAGGGAGAACTTACCATTTGGGGACCCTGTGGTGGTTTCCTCAGTAAGGCTCATGCCCCTTTGGATGCCGGCAGGGGTGGTAACTTCCAAGTCATCGTCTGTGAGGCTGGGGGTCAGGAAGGGGCTCTCCGGGGTCCCTTGGATGGCAGGGTTTACTCCTGCTTGTCCTGCAGGAAGGATTCTGCCCTGGACATCTGGATTAGCCTGGCTGGTGGGCAGGATGGCCCCGGGGAACAAGGGCTGGAAGATGAGGCCTGTGAAGATGTGAGGGGCCACCGGCTGGAATGAGGGAAGGAAACAGAAAGCAGAGTTAAAGGAACACATTTTAAAGGCCAGGCAACCAGCCTTTCTTCTTTGAGGGCAGCAAGTTTGGGTAGGAAGGGCAGGATGGAGAAAGGACAGTCGGAGAGAGTGATAAGGATGGGCCTTCCTCGGAGGAGATGCCCCCCAAAGAGGAATGACACTTCACTTGCTGACACCAGGAGTATCTGGAGGTGGGACTCAGGCAGAAAATCCATACAATCACGACGGGCTCTGTCTCTGTTATTCACCTGAACCATCGTCTTTCCTGAGCCCATAATTAAAAAAAAAAGTAATTTAGGAGACTAAAAATTAATGGCCGGAATTAATTCAAGTAGATGAATCAATCTTCATTGTATGGTTTGTGTCCCTGCATGTGTCTTTTGATGTGTTTTTCAAAGGCACTGGACTATTTGGTCAGAAATATTTCTCTTAGCAATTCAGCCCCTTGTGTATCCCTTGGGGTTACCCAATGGAACTCCTCTTTATCGGACTATCAGTGATTTGCACACTGGTAATGAACGATGTTGCTGTCACACTTTTTTTTCCTTCTTGGAAAAAAAATTACTGCAAAGCTTCCCCTAAGAAATAATTTGACATTGGCTGGTTTTGGAGAGAGTTCAGACAGGACCCAGTTCTCCGGGACCTCCCAGCTCTGATGGTGTTCTCATAGAATCAAAGTGTTAAGAGCTCACAATTAAGAAACAGGTCAGTTTCCTTGAACATGGCTCTCAATTGTTAGTTTTTGTAAGAACCACCGGAAGAACTTGTTATAAAGGCAAGTTCCTAGGCTCCATTGTTAGAGAGATTATGATTAAGATGAGGTCAGGACCCAGAAATCTACATTTTCACCAGCATGCCAAGTTGCCCTGATTTGAGGTCCAGGACTGAAGTTTGGGAAACACTGTTGTAGATTTACGAGGTATTGAAGCCAAAATTAAACTTATGCTGGATGAGAGACAGGAGAACAGTACAGTTTTCCAATTGGGGTCATGACATCCATAGGTATGAAATAAAGCAGGTGGGTTGTGCCCATCACTAAAAAATAAGATAAAAAGAATAGTCTAGATAGACTATGAATTACCTGGTGTATTCCATAGAGGAAGGGTAAATATAGTTTCATGAAATGTGTGTGTGTGTGTGTTGGCTGCATGAAAAATAGAGCTGTTACTGTGGGTTTGAAAACCACTGGCATAGTAGATAGAAAAACAGCTTTCAATCTGTTTTTGACCTTGGGACCTAATTTACTTAAGCTCTCTGAGCCTCACTTTCTTTACTTATAAAGTTGGATAAAAATTTCTGCTTTGTAACTTGGTAAGGATTAAAAAAAATGTATGGAAAAGATCTATAAGGTGCCTGTTCTATAAAATTGGCTCAAAAACTGGTAGACGTAGGTGTTCATGTATGAATGAACACCTGATATTGGCAAAACAGCCCCATTATTTTATTTATGGACAATCTAGCATAGCTCTACTTTTTTCATAATAGAAAAAAAATTTAAATAACTATCTTCCCAGATATTGCTTCAATTCTTAATTTCATTGTCATGTTTAGATACCATATTAGTTCATCATTTTCCTCTAAAAATGACTTACGGAGAAATGCATAGAAAAGCCTAGCAATGATAATATAACCTAATGCAAAGACCTATAAAAATGTTCAATTTATTGTAGTAGACACCGAGTTTAGGGCTTGTGGTCAAAGGAGACTATAAATGTGAGACAGAAAACAGCATTATGGTAGCACTGAAAAGAATTTTAAATATTAGTAATTAAAATTTTTTTTTTACCAATTCCTCTGAGCTTAGGATAGTACCCTAAAAAGAAAATAATAACACAAATTATTAGAAAAATTTTAATATATTCATGGCAAGATATGTATAGCATAACTTCAAAACTTAAAAGTTTTAAAAATTATAAAAATAAATTTTTTATTTTCAACAAAAATTTAAACTGTCTTGTGACTTATATCACAAAACTCTTGTTAGCACATGATATTGAACTGCTAACATTATCTGAGGGATGGGAGGTCTTCTGTATTTTAAAAATTATATATTTTCTATTATTAAGTAATAGATGCACATTGGAGGAAAGTTGGAAAGTGCAGAAAGCAATAAGAAAAAATATATAATCACATCAGGCAGAGTTTGATATATTTTCTTCCGGATGTTTTTCACACATTTATTTTACACATAATAGAAGTCAGTTCACTTATACAACTGTGTCTTACCTTTTCTTTTGTACTATACAGCCATCATTTAACAACATAACTGACATATTTTAATAAATAGACTTTCTTTCCCCCCCATTTTATTTATTTAAAAAAAATTATCTTTATTGAAAATATTACAGACGTCCCCTCTTTTCCCCATTGACATAAATGCACTTTCGAATGGTCAGAAAGTATTGGCTTTTATGTTGCACAGTTTACTTAATTATGTTCCTTTCTTTAAAATTTAAGTTGCACCCAATATTCTTCTTTACTATAAATATTATTTTGACTAGTATATTTGTAAATAATCCTTTGCTGTATTTCAGATTATTTGAAATACAGCAAATAATTGGGATTGTTCCCAGATGTGGAATTAAGAGTTGATATGAATTTTATATTTGATTCTGCTTTTAGAAGTAAAAGCTGCCACCTGGTGTTCATATTTGATCTTGACCCTTGGCAATTTTATCAGCGATCTCAAGGATTACCTTTCACACGCTTGCGCGCGCGCGCACACACACACACACACAAATGGGGAGAGAGAAGAGGCAGTGTTTGTATCAATTTTAGGGAAAATATATATAGTTAATAAATAAATTTGAAATTAAAAAAGAAATCCTCCAAATCATTGCTCATTAGATCAATCCCATTAATTTTTTTCTTAAAATTGACTCATTGCTTCACCTGTGACATCTACTAACTCTGTGATTGTAATTGAATTACTGTATTTACTCATCTTCAGATTGGCAATAAAAATATTGTCTATAAAAGGTTCTTTTGAAGATTAAATGAGATAGTACATAATAAATAATAAAATGCTTATAACAGTGCCTGGCACAGAGTAAGCATTCAATACATGCTCTTGCTATTATCAGTGTTCATACAGTGCAAAGTAAATAGGAAGTGTGTCCACTATCTGGTGAATTGAGGCAAGAGTAAATATTTCACATTAAGATGAGATGATTTAAAACAAAAATCATCATACAAAATAACCTTACCTGGGCTCCAAGTTGTGCTACAATAAGTGGTAACATCTGGAAAAAAAATTGTGAAAAATTCAGTAAAAAATATATTCAAAGGTAAGTTCTGATGGATGATAGAAATATCAAGAGTTTCTTAAAAAACACTATTTCTTCAACAGGTATTTGTTACTAATGTATCATCTGCAATCATAGATGTAGACTCATAGAGCTGGGTGCAAATCAGAACTCATCCAATTTGTAAAAAGAAGATCAGACCCAGGGAGATTTAGAAACCTGTACAAGGCAGCCCATTTAGAAGGTAGAAGTTAGTAAACTGGATGATCAAAGTATAATTTTGGTCTTACCTCCAAAATCTACCTCCAAACTGAAAATTATCCCAGGAAATGATACCAAATGTGATAAAAACGCATGTGTTTATTTTGTACTGCATTTTGGAAGATACATTAAAACATTGAATATTTTAAAATACAATGGTTTCTTTAAGCATTTATGGTTAGTCTCATCATGGTTCCCTGGGAATTTTGCTGTTAAAATAGAGCACTGGAAGGAGATTATGGAGGATATTGTTCGATAATCCCTGGCACTGACAGAGCTCTTAGAACTGAGAAATATTTTAATGGCCACTGGTAACTACATAAATGTTATGCATTTATAGTCAAAAAGATTTGGGTGAGGTGCTGGTGTGCTCTAGTACTCTAAGAACTAACTTACAGTTTGTCAAAGAGAGCTAGGGTTTTAGGATTTATTTTTATTTCTATAAAGATTCATTTCACAGTGTCAGGAAAAGTAACCAAAATGGAACTTAATAGCAACCAATCCAAAAGATTTGAAAGACTTATGAAATAGACTCTTAACTTTATTATTTCCCAAGACAGTGGATACAGTAATAGCCATAGCGACAAAAGGTAAAAAGTACATGCATCTAAGGAAAAGCCTTACTCTCTACTGGATCTCTGGCTACTGACCAAAAAAAGAGCTGATCTCAGGGTGACAATGGGAAAGTGGGTTGAAGGGAAGGGACACTTGAGATTTTGAAGAAAACAAAATTGAAATTTCTTTTTTAAAGATGAGTTGGAAGGAACAAAAAGTTACAAATAGGAAACCACAGATGTCTAAGTAAAAAATGGTAATGACAGATAATTTAATATTTCACCAATGTAAAAATAAGGTGGACAGTTTTTATTAGTTTTTGGTAGAGAAATTATTTGAAATAATAATAGCTAACGCTGATTGTTTGCTGTGTTAACTGTTCTGCGTGTTTTAGGTATGTTTACTCATTTAACCTTTACACAGGCCCTAGAGGTAGGTTGTATTTTACTCCCATTTTAAATTGTGAAGACAGTGAGCCTCAGAGTGGTTAAGTAACTTGGCCAACATCTCATTGGTAATAAGTGGAGAGCTGGGATTTGACCAGAAGTTGTGTGAATCTAGAGTTCACTTTACCGCATTGGCTTTGCTTTGATAAATGAGAGCTTTGGACAAGTAATGGAGTTTCTGGTAGAGGACCCTGGAAAGGCAGGATCAGAGGGACTGGGGCTACACTGGAGAAGGTCAGGTATGGGGACCCTAGGTGGTGGTATAGCCCAGAGACAGTGAAGAATCTCCCCTAGAATGGGGGTTGATTTATGTTATTGCATGTTGAGGGGGGTGTAATGCTAAACCCTCTCTACTGAACCTTTAGTAACATCTACAATGACCACTAATGCATTTAACTGGAGTGGATATTCTTTGGTGAATATGAAGATGTACTAAGTCTGACTTCAAGGTTAGAGCAGGGCGATCATTGAAACTGAAGTCAGGCAGTTGGCATAAGGATTATGCCAGGATCATGTGTTAAAGAGATTCTCATTTTGTTTGCCTGTCTCTCTAGTCTTTTCCAGAGGATCACTTTTATTATTGAGATATAAATTAGCAGCAAATATGTTGAGCGAAGGCTCTAATATTCTGTAAGAAATAAGTACAAGTATACATTTCAATATTAAAAAAGAAATGTAAAAATTAGTTATGTTATAGAACTTCGCAAATATGAATTAATAAAGCAGTATAATCTTGTGTTGTTATTTTGGACAATGGCACAGAAAAAGGTATTAGTTGCCTATGATGTAAAATTTAAATTGAGCAGCTTAAAATTATTTCGTTAGTTAAACTTAGCTTTGATTATAATTACTAATTAATACAAGCTACTCTTATTAAAACCTGGAGATGTCCATAGTGGTTAGAAGATGGTTAGGATATATCGGTTCATTATTGTATTTATGCTTTATAATTTGGGAATGTGTATTAAAAGTCTTATATTTTTATGTCTTTAAACCTACAAATTCTTTTCCTAAGAGCTGTTCCTAAGGAAATAATCATTGATATGGTCAAAGACTTAGTTACAAGGATGCTCACTGTAGCATAATTTATAGAAGAAAATTAGGAATAAAACCCAAATTTTTGCAATGGAATACTAAGTAATCATTAAAAACAATGTTATGAGTGAATGTTTTAAAAACACAAAGACTATTCAATATTTATTAAGTGAAAAAGTCAGATTATAGAACATTAGATATTATAAGAACATATTTTCTTTAAAAAATATGCTTAACACATCATGGAGAAAAAGACAGGAAAGACATATCTTAGAATGCTGACTGTTTGATTCTGGCTATTAGGATTATGTGCCCCCCCTATTAAATGGATTTTTTGTTTTTTTTTTTTTTTTGCTCATCTGTATTTTCTAAGTTCTCTATAATTACCATATATGATGTATGTAATACACAATAAAGCTTCTACAAAAAAATTAGACCATTATGAGGGCCTGAGATAACCTGTTAGAGAGAATAAGCTATCCGTAGTGACTTAGTCCAGTCATGAAGGGGTCATTGTATTTTCCTCCAGAGCCTAATAATATATTTAAAGAAGTTTCAAGTGGGTACAAATTTGTCCTTTGTTCATAGTTAAAATTCAAACACTTCCCAAAGTGTTTGATGCCCTGAGTATGCACTTTACATAGTAGTGGGAGAGGGCTTTCTAGGTTTTTTCCTGAAAGCAAATGATGGTGGGAAGTAAAGAACTGGAAAGAACTTGGGGACTTTTGAGGGAGCCTGATAAAGGGGTGCAAAACGGAAAAGATTAGATTTGCTGAATTTAACATCTATTCACCTTTTAATTTTAATTTGGGATGATTCTGGCCACCCAGAAAGTCTTCAGTAGAAAACACAACATGCTAGAGAAGAATCCTGCTACCTCTCAATTTTCCTCCTTATACTTTTGACTTTTCAGTCTCCCCCCACCCTTCCCATTTTTCTGTTACCCATTACAAATGTATTCTAGAGAGGTTATGGGTCAGCGTGCTCAGTTTTCCAGGTGTGTTCTCATGGATTTTCAGCAAGAACCAAATTGTCAAGACTGTTCCATGTTCTGTAGCACATCCCTCTGCAAATTATCTGGGTAAAATGTGTAAGAACTTTGAAAAAATGCTCTCCTCCTTCTTAGGCTCCCACCTGAGAGAAGATGCTCCCCAGTGGGAAACCGAAGTCCCATCGCTAAACTTACCTGCGGTTGCAGCTGCTGTTGTACGTTCAGTCCCCCCAGGGCCAGTGGGAGGGTCTGGGCAGCAGGTGCCAATCCTGCAGGAAGATTTAGCTGAAAGGCCAAGAAGATTTTCATTGTGTTGTTTTAGTTTGAACATTCAGGAAACGAACATGTATTTACTAAATGTAAAATACGTTTACTTGGAGAATTTACTCTGCAAACATGTAGTATACTATACTGCATTTAGAATTAGGTAGAGAGATCAAGTTCAAAGACTTGTTTAGTCTACCAGCACAACCATATGTTTCCTAACTTTTTCCATATTAAATTTTTCTTTGGCATTTAACACATTTTCTTTGAGAACTACCTAGGTGACTTCCACCTGGATTTTCCTTTTGTGGGCTATCACAGCACTGATTCCTGGAATTTTCCTAATGGTTTTCTTATGAAGAAGGGGTTCTTCATAGGTATCCCCATGGAAATTGTGAGTCAGAATAAATGATCTAGTCTGCATAGGATCTATTACTTGAGAATTAGAATTCCTTCAGCGACTCTTGCTAAGAAAAAGTTTTCGTGATGTACTGAATAGCATTCAGCTCTCTGACTTTTCTGTCTTCTCTCTTTCTACTGACCTACCATGAATATGTGTATATGTGTACATTTGTGGAGACACACACACATATATACACACACTCAATATTAGGTATTCTATTTACATAACACAGGATATTAAAATGATATAAAAGGGTACTCACCAGTTGCAGATCTGACCCCAGTGTGAGCATCTGTGTCAGTGGTATTAGACTTAAAGAAGGGAAGACCTGCAGGGCATTGAAATTGATGAATGAACCAAGAGGTTGTCTGTTTTCACTGACTTGTCAATGGTGGACATCCGCAAGTGTCATATACTCCCGTCAGACGTGGATTCGTCATGAGGGTGCAGCTCCAAGGCCTCTCACCAGCTCTGGCCCCTTCCATGGCCCTGGGAGGCACCCGAGCATCTATCCAGTTTATGGCATTTATCAGCTTAAAAATATGTATTTCTTATATCTCATCTCATTATGAATTATTCACTTTAGTACTTAATTTTATACATCTAATTTTGTTTTCTTTGTCTTAAGGTGTATCCCCAAATTGTATAAGCTTCAGGTTTCCTAAGGAGAGAGACAGGCTTATGCCTTGAGTGTTCCACAATGTCCATAGATTTAAAAAGGAACTTTAGACTCTGGTGTTATCTGATTGTTTCACAAAGTCTAGGGGAAGGTAAGGTGGGGGCCTTTAGAACAGGGGAAGGGTTGAAGTGGGAAGAAGGGTAGTAGCCAAGAGACAATGCAGTTTTCAAAAGGATTTAAATACGCTTTGAAGAAACAGACTTTATAGTGACACGTTAGCTCATCAGCAACAACAGAACATGAGGAAATCTGCAGTTATTTTTCCAGATTACCTCTTAATCCCTGTTAGCTCTGGCAAATACCACGTGACATGTCACAGTATCACAAGGACATAGATGACCAAGCTTTGTCAACAGCTGTAGCAATTGCTTTTCAAAGTTTAATAGATTTGGTTGTTAAAACAAGTTATTATTTAGGCAAAAGGAAAAAAGACTGAGGGTGCTTTGTTTTCCTGACTCCGATTTTTCGAAAAAGTGTATTGGTTCTTGTTTTTCTTTTCTCCCCAAAGGAAAGCCTCTCTCTCTTGTTGACTCATGAGGCTCTGTCTACATCCTGATTTTCAATCCGCTAGTCTCACCACGTTTCCTTCGCTGGCCTGCTGTGATCCCTCCTGCAGGGCTCTCACCTGATTTGGCTGCTGGTGCTTTGATAGGGTCGTCTGGTCTGGAACCAGCTGAGCTGGAGGAAGTCCCAGAGCAGGGTTGAGCTGCATCTGTGATAACAAATATTTGACGAGGCAGGGATGTGTTTGAGGTTTTGCATCCATTTATTTTCAGGATGTAACAAGTTGTCCCAAATGCAAAAATGTCTGTCTTTAAGCTGTGTGTGTTTTGGCATGGTTTTAATTTCCCGGAACATTCCATGCATGACAGGAGATGGAACTGCAGAGTGGAAACGTGCCAGCCCAGGGGGTGTGTGGTGAGGAGGGAGCCAGCGTGGGGCCAGGCGCATGGTAGTTCCTAGGTTCCCTTTTCATTTCTGTAACTACTTCTTTTTTCCGGGTGTGAAATACATAGTCTACCCTTTAGCTCTGAACAAGTTTGTTTTTCGCCAACGCTTGAAGGTCCCTGCCACCATTCCTAGTGCATTTTTATGAAGCTTCCTGCTTTTGCCTGTGCATAGCAAGTTGCTTTCTGTAATGGAAGTGAAGTCCCTTTCCTGGCCAGAGTAGTTTCTGTGTATTAAGAAACAATGAATTTAAGGGGTGAAAATGTGCTTGTGATCTGTATGATATATTTGTATGGTTTTGTTTAAAAATAAGGAAACTGAGGCCCAGACAAGCAAAGTGACTTGCCCAAGGGGACACGGTGAGTGGCAGAGCTGGTACTAGGATCCCACAAGTGCCCTTGGTTCTTGAAGAAATGAATCCTTCCCTTAGCTTCTCTTGCGCTCCCTCTGCATTCAGGTGGAAGCTCCCCGGCCAGGGTGACCCAGTGGCCTTTGCTTCGGGCTGCATCTCAGAGGCCCTGTGGTGTAGCCTTTCTGCACGTGCCCTTGGCCACTTGGATATACCCTGGAGCTGCCACTGATTCTTGGTTTCACTTTGGACTTTTCCCTCAGTTGTAAGAGATAAGGTTGGCATTATCTGTTCTTAGAGGTCCCTATAAGTGTTAAGATATGTAAGTATAAGCTCTGCAAATTTCTTTTCATCCCTTACAATCTATAGTCAGCACTGTAGCCAGAGTGGTCCTTTGAAAACAACAGTGTGGTCCTTTCACCCCTCTGCTCAACCCCTGCATTGACTTCCATTCTCACTCAGAGTAAAAGCCAGAGACCCTACAATGGCCTCCAAGGCCCTCCACCCTGGGCTCCAGCGCCTCTCTGACCTGCCCTTTCCTTTCCTTTCCTTTCCTTTCCTTTCCTTTCCTTTCCTTTCCTTTCCTTTCCTTTCCTTTCCTTTCCTTTCCTTTCCTTTCCTTTCCTTTCCTTTCCTTTCCTTTCCTTTCCTTTCCTTTCCTTTCCTTTCCTTTCCTTTCCTTTCCTTTCCTTTCCTTTCCTTTCCTTTCCTTTCCTTTCCTTTCCTTTCCTTTCCTTTCCTTTCCTTTCCTTTCCTTTCCTTTCCTTTCCTTTCCTTTCCTTTCCTTTCCTTTCCTTTCCTTTCCTTTCCTTTCCTTTCCTTTCCTTTCCTTTCCTTTCCTTTCCTTTCCTTTCCTTTCCTTTCCTTTCCTTTCCTTTCCTTTCCTTTCCTTTCCTTTCCTTTCCTTTCCTTTCCTTTCCTTTCCTTTCCTTTCCTTTCCTTTCCTTTCCTTTCCTTTCCTTTCCTTTCCTTTCCTTTCCTTTCCTTTCCTTTCCTTTCCTTTCCTTTCCTTTCCTTTCCTTTCCTTTCCTTTCCTTTCCTTTCCTTTCCTTTCCTTTCCTTTCCTTTCCTTTCCTTTCCTTTCCTTTCCTTTCCTTTCCTTTCCTTTCCTTTCCTTTCCTTTCCTTTCCTTCCCTTCCCTTCCCTTCCCTTCCCTTCCCTTCCCTTCCCTTTCCTTTCCTTTCCTTTCCTTTCCTTTCTTTCCTCCCTCTACTACTGCCGTTGGTTATTTGCTGCCTCTGTGGCAGGTAAGGCCCACTCTTGCCCCAGAGCCTCACCTCCACCTGTCTCCTCTCTCTGGAATGCTCTTTTTTCAGACATTGGCTCCCTCCCTCACTTGCTTCAAGGCTTTGCTCGAGTTCACTTTCTTACTGAGGCCCACTGTCCTGAATATGCCACCTGCCCCATCTCCAATTCCCAAACCTGAACTACTGAAAACAAGTGCTAGGTGCTTTTAAGTGTCCACATTTGCAAATTGACTCATTTTTATGCTTTTATGATAATTTGGTAAACTCACAAATAATTTTTTAAATCTCATCCAGGTGTCCTGATTTTTCAGTTGATAAACACCACTACTATTCCTAATAGATACCTTAGTGTCGCCTCCTGTGTCCCCTGCACCACGAATGCTCTAGCTGCTCTCATGTTATTGGCTCTCAGCAACCGGCACTGCCCTGCGTGCTGCTCCTCAGTCTGCCTTGAATGACAGCTGTGCTCCTGGAAAATTTTACTTCTTTCGAGTTTTTACAAATTGTATGGTAATTTAAATACAGCAGAGACACCCTCTTTAGGAGAACCGTTTGGTAAATTTATTTGGTGGAGTGGAAAATCCATCTGACATTTCTTTTGAAAAATTATTTATTAGTATCTATCACGTTAGTGAGCACCATGAAGGACCAGTTCCCCCCCCCCATCACTGTATTTTCAACAACTTGCACAGTATCTGGTTTATGGAGAGTTTCCAATAAATACTTGCTGATATTGTACGGATGACTACAGAAGTGTCAATAGGTCTCAAAGCTTACCCAAAAAGGTTTCTTTATGTTCTGCTATTTATAGCAGATATATTGTAATTATTTTCTTAATGTCCATAATCAAGCATCTCAAATAGTCAAAAGAGAAGTCTACTTAGAAGCCCAAACTCCATCTCTATGTCCATAAAATATTGGAGGACAACTGGAGTATGTATTCAAATGCAAGTGCTCATTTTCTTCAAAAAGCCGTCATGTGTAAATATGTTTGTGATGAAATGTTCTACGTCGAAAGTTACAGAGAAGTTCGTAATGTTCCCTCGCAATCGCATGACCCGGTAGCCTTTTTGGAGTTTAGACAATCTAGATGTTTTGTGCTTCAAATTGGAAAAATCAGAAAATCTAGGTTATCTCTTTAGTCATGAGAAAATAATTAACTGCCAAAAAAATCTTAAATTCTTTTTGTAAAGTAAAATAATTATTCATTTTAAGTAGATATAATATAAGGCATTATTTTTCTCCTAATTTCTGCCCTATTGCCCTGCCAAATGAATAGAGATTCTATCATAATAGAGTGGATGCATTTTAAAAATGTTAAATGCATTGAAAGATGCACTAACGCTTTATTAGTTTATTATCTTTCACCTTGGAAAATAAAGCTAGGAAATTAAGGGAATGGGTCACAGAACAGAGCAGTTTTAACAGAGGGCAGGAAGAGGGATACGTGTGCAATTAAGATACTGCTAACACTGCTTGGTACATAAAATAAACATATTGCACTTACTGGTAATGACTGAGTTGATCCCAGAAGATAAAACAGTAGAATCATAGTCTTCATGTTTCAAATTGCTACCTATAACAACAAAATAGTGTTGCTCTTTCACTCCATTTTTTCCTTTTGAGAGAAGATGATACTTAAAAAAAAAAAAAAAAGAATGTTCTATTTGAAACATGGTCAGTTAATGTTACCTTTCTCTCCACTAGGCAAAATGTATAGGTGAAACGGTCTTCAAAGTCCAGTCGATTTCTTCAGTTTCTGTGGTGAAAAATTTTACCCTTTGAGGAGTTGTGAGTTTGTAGAAGGAATTTAAACTGAACTCCAGGAGGCTGGCAACTGAGAGACCAATCAGGCCTCAGCTGTGAAATCATTTGGTTTCTTTCATTTCCTAACACTTCATTAGGTGAGTTATTAGCTGCAGACATCATATTACCCAATGTCTACCATTTGAAGAGAGGGTATTTCAGGAAGACGTGTCTTGTGTAACTAACAAAAAGTACAGACAATTAAGACAATTAAAATCCTTCTTCATCTCCATCTGCTTCCCAAATGACTTTCCAGATGTACCCATTTTATCATGTATGTACGAACATATAAATCAAACATCGAAATATAACTGTATGTTAAAAAATGAGGCCTATTAAGCACATTGCTCTGCAAGTTACTTTGTTTACTTAAGAAATAATGAACATCTTTATGTGTCTGTACATATAGATTTAATTCATTTATTTAATGGTTACATTATATTACATTTCCTTTTGATGGCTATTTAATACATTTCCATTTTACTTTATAATTATAGAAGCGGTACAATGAATATTTTTATACTTTTTCCCCCCACACATGTGGGAGTATTTCTATAGGTATTATAGAAGTACTGTATTGAAGAATGCGTATGTTTTAAAATTCAATAAATATGATGGGAAATACAATGGTTAACAAGTAATTATATGCTTGATAAGCGTAATACCAGGAATATACACAGCATGAAGCGGAGTGTGGTTAATTTTGTTGGGGGCCAAAGGGGAGAGAAGATTTATAGATAAGCTGACACTTGAGCTGAATTTTGAAGAATTAAAAGAAACTTATTAAGAAATCAAGGAGAGCATCGGGCAGACCAACGTCTGGATATGAAGGAGTGATGTTATTGCTCCCTGTCACTGGGACAAAGTGGAAGACAGGGCTGGAGAGACACCTGTAGTATTTTTGTTCGTTTCTATTACTCGTTTTAGCTCTTGATCAAACATTATTTTACATGACTCCTTCATTATTTTCCTGCTGTATGTTTCTCTTGAACTAGATGGGGAGTTCCTGGGGTCTTGTCTTATATTTCTTTGTCTTCTATGTTAATAGCATTAACACCGCTGAGCACCAGCTGGCCTGTGCATGCTGGTGAGTCAATGGTAGAGGCATACACTACAGGGAGCTGTGCTGAGGGAGGACTTCTGAGAAGAGATGGGGTTTTCAGTGGATTTGGAGACTGACTATGATTGACCGTACAGAGAGCCACATGATAAAGGGCTGAATATTGAGATAAGCACAAAACATAAGTGCTGAAGGATCTGGAAGGAAAGCAGCTGGCTTTCGTAGACACATTCATGCATTTTTTTATTCAGTCAATTCATTCTCTTCACCCATCATTTAACATATATTCACTCGATGTACTGTTAACATTGTTTTGGTCCCTGGGAATAAAACAGTGAATGAAAAAGACAATAATCCTCGCAAAGCTTATACTTTGGAGCTTATACTTTGGTAGGGAGAACATTAGATATTCAAGCCTCATCGTGTTGAAGAGAGCCCATGACTCTGCGGAGCCCACTTTCCTCTGGACATTATTTTCAATCATTGTGTAGGTGGAAGGGCTTCATATATATATACAGGGTGTTCCCCCAAAATGTATACACACTTAACAGCTGATAGCTCAACTGATGTTTCTTTCCAGATTTAACCAATTGGTACTTGTAATTATTCAAAGTATGTATACATTTTTTGGGGGGACACTATGTATATGTAGTATCCTCCAAAAATAAATAGAATAGAATAAAATAAAATATATACAAAAATTATATATATAAATTATATATTTATATAAGAAAATAAAATTATAAATACATAATTTTATTTTATTTATTTATTTTTTGTGGAGGCAGAATGGAATTTTAGGCCCCCGTTGTTTCTTGGGCTTGGGTGAGGAGACTTGTGTTCTATTGCCAGCCTAGAACACGGTGCTAGTGAATAACTCGTTTGAACTGAGTCACTGTTTGTGAGCGTCTGGGCTTCGGGTGATTCAGAGACTGACTGAGCGTGGATTGCCTGTTGCAGACATGCTTCCAACCCCAGGCTGGGATGGGGCACACCTAAGCCTGGAAACTGAGCAGGCAGTGGGATATGACCAAAATAGGCAAGGGAAATTAAGGGGGCTGAGTAATTTCTGAGACAAGAAATTTTAAGTTTGAAAACAGATAACTTGCAATAATATAATTATGGAGTTCGGTGTCAAGAAATATGTGTGATACAAGGGAAAAAAATTCCTAAATGATTCTAAAACTGAGAGACATCAGCAAAAACAGTGAAGCAATTTATTTTTCTGAAATGACTTAGAATATCAGGATTCATTAAAGTGTTTTATGGACTATAGGTGATATCTCTTAGCCCTGTTGGTCTAGACATTTCTCGGTCTTTCACATTGGTCTTATTTTTAAGTTTCTTTGAGTTATGCACCCTTTTGAGAATTTGGTTGAATCAATACATCGTTTCCTCAGAAAAATGCACATATGTCCATGAACACAATGTGTATTAGACAACTTTAGGGGTCTCATAGATTGTAAAAACAACTGTGCTCTGTTTATGTAGAAAAACTTCAATAATATTAAAAGTACGCACATATACAGGGTGTCCCCAAAAATGTATACACAATTTGAATAATTAATTCCAATGGGTTAAATCTGAAAAGAAAGAAACATCAATTGAGTTATCAGCTAAGTGTCTACTGGGACACCCTATAGATTTAAAAAATAAGCTTCGTTGTAGGTGATTTGTCAAGCTGGGAAAGAATGTCCTGCAAACGGCAACAAATGAGGATGCCAAGGGGAGGGGTAAGAGATGCAGTACTAGTGTAAGCAATTAATTCATGATTTCAGTGTTTGTGTGATGGTATGGCTTAGATAAGATCTGGAATGCTGTCGGGAATTTATGTAGCTTCAGAGTTAATACAATACTGCCAATTGGGTAGTTACTTGCAGTTCTGTAGATGTTATCAGGAAAATACGTTGTTTCAAAGTCAAGTGAAAGGTCAGTATGTGATTCTGCAGTACTAAGGAGATTATGTGTTTCAGAGTTAAACACAGAGTCCATGCAAGTCTGGTGCCATCATAGGGAGATGATTTTCTCTTCAAGCAATTGATGGAGGTGCCAGCTTCCAGGCTGTTGTAGCATGGAGTGAGGTGTTTATGGTTATAGCAGATGTTAGTGTGGGAATTATAGCTGGAGTAGCAGATGTGGTGGTAGAAGTTGCTTTAGGGGTAGTGGTAGCAGGAACGGTGAAAGTTATAGTAGCTGTTTGTGTTTGAGGGTGCGAGCTTGAAAATAAAAAATATCTGAATGTGGGTTTGGATAGAGGAGCACAGAAAGGAAAAATTAATTTGGGTTAGGTTGAGTTTGTTCAAGTCTTGTTGTTAAGTGGATTTGGATGAAGTTGGTGTGATCAGATATTTTTTTGAGGTGGCTTTGGACAAGATTTTTAAAAAAAATTTTATTTTTGTTTAAAATATTACAGATGTCCCTTTTTCTCCCAATGACCCACTCCACCCTATCCTACCCCCAGTCCCTCTCCCCACCATTGTTGGACAAGATTTTGAACAAGATTGAGATATATGAGGTGGTTTTCTTTTTTATGAGTAGCAGCTTTTAGAAAATATTTTGATAGATGAGATTTTGATTGACTATGGAGTTTTCTATGAAATTTTGGAGAGCAAACTCCTGATTGAGTAGCTGTTTTAAGAGGAACATTGGATGTGACAATTCTTGGCTTAATAGCTGCTCTTAGATGATCGTATGGAAAGGCAACACCTGATGAAACAAGTTTTTTGTGTGTACATTTTAGATGGGTTGGCTCTTTGCTTATTAATTATTCTTAAATGGTTTTGTATAGATCCAGGTCTTAACTGAATACCTGTTTTTGGACCAGCTTTGGACAGGGAAGTGTCTTTCTGATGTTAGTTTTAGATGAGTTTGATAGAGGCAACTATTTTTAGAAGAGTTTTGGATGATGCAGCTCTTTGTATGTTGCCTTCTTTCAGATGAGTTTGTTTGTGGTAGCTCCTTGCTGAACAGCTTGTTTGGACAGGAGAGTACTTCACAGATCAGCTTGTCTTTGATGAATTTGTGTAGACCCAGGTTCTAGTTAAAAAGTGACTTTGATTTTTCTGTCCAAGTGAATAAATTGGAGAGAGTTGCTAAGAGATTAAGTACAATAAGGACTGAAATATGTCCATTTAAATGAGCAACAAGTAGGTCATTGGTGAACTGAGGAGCTACAGTCATGCATGTTATGATGTCCTTAGACAACTCGGCCTTTTGAAAAGTTCAGCTGTGACTTGATGAAGGAATAAAAGAATAAAGGCCCCGGAGGCAGAATATTTTTGTATCTAGAACACAGATGGTGGGATTGATCTTTGACTCGGCCATTGATTGTAATAGGAATAAAGGAGAGGATGTGAACAGATGTAGATTTGCACTTATGGTGGCTGTAAATCGAAGGAATGAATTTGATGACTGCTGTTTCCTCTGTGAAATATTAGGCAAGTTCATTTACTAAGAGTGGGGGGAAGAGGGAAAGAGATTTCGGGGTGGAAGATATACAGATGTATCTCGTTTTATTGCACATTACTTTCTTGAGCTTCACAGGTGTTGCACTTATACAGATTGAAGGCAAAACCCTCCACCGGCAAAAAGATTTCAGCTCTCTTTATTGTGGTGGTCTGGAACCGAACCTGCATATTTCCGAGGTATGCCTGTATAGCAATTCTTTGGAGTGTGAGTGAGCATGCTTTATAAGA